TGAAGCAGGCTGAGAGTCGAGATGAAGCAGGCTGAGAGTCGAGGTTGAAGCAGACTGAGAGTCGAGGTGAAGCAGGCTGAGAGTCGAGATTGAAGCAGGCTGAGAGTCGAGGTGAAGCAGATTGAGAGTCGAGGTTGAAGCAGGCTGAGAGTCGAGGTGAAGCAGATTGAGAGTCGAGGTTGAAGCAGGCTGAGAGTGGAGGTTGAAGCAGGCTGAGAGTCGAGCTGAAGCAGACTGAGAGTCGAGGTGAAGCAGGCTGAGAGTCGAGGTGAAGCAGGCTGAGAGTCGAGATTGAAGCAGGCTGAGAGTCGAGGTTGAAGCAGGCTGAGAATCGAGGTGAAGCAGACTGAGAGTCGAGATGAAGCAGGCTGAGAGTCGACGTTGAAGCAGACTGAGAGTCGAGGTGAAGCAGGCAGAGAATCGAGGTGAAGCAGGCTGAGAGTCGAAGTGATGCAGGCAGAGAGTCGAGGTTGAAGCAGGCTGAGAGTCGAGGTTGAAGCAGGCTGAGAGTCGAGATGAAGCAGACTGAGAGTCGAGGTTGAAGCAGGCTGAGAGTCGAGGTTGAAGCAGGTTGAGAGTCGAAGTGAAGCAGGCTGAGAGTCGAGATGAAGCAGGCTGAGAGTCGAGTTGAAGCAGACTGAGAGTCGATGTGAAGCAGGCTGAGAGTTGAGGTTGAAGCAGGCTGAGAAACGAGGTGAAGCAGACTGAGAGTCGAGGTTGAAGCAGGCTGAGAGTCGAGGTGAAGCAGGCTGAGAGTCGAGGTGAAGCAGGCTGAGAGTCGAGGTTGAAGCAGGCTGAGAGTCGAGGTGAAGCAGGCTGAGAGTCGAGGTGAAGCAGGCTGAGAGTCGAGGTTGAAGCAGGCTGAGAGTCGAGGTTGAAACAGACTGAGAGTCGAAGTTGAAGCAGACTGATATCGTATTCCCCTGCTGTATGGGATACAGTGTTGCCCCCTCGCACGTGCGGCTTTCTCGGGGTGCTCCGTGTTCCTTCCACACGTAAACGCTCATCATTGATCGACCGACAACACCTTCATAAACAGAGGACTGCAGAGCTTTGGTGCGGTGGGGTTGGGGGGGGGGAAGAGAATGTGGTTCCTCCTCTCGTCTCCAAGTCAATCTCTTGGAGAGAGCCGGCGAAATATATCGTGCGTCGGCGAGTTAAAGATGAAACTCATTGTTATATTTGTTTAACTTGTCTATCTAAACGTCGCTGCGGGGGGGTGGGGGGGTTGGCGTGGTGTGGGCGGAAATACATCGCCGTGGGGGAGGGAGGGGGGGTGGCGATGGTGGATCGAGTGGCTGCCTCCCAACGCCGCCGCTCGTCCAAGCCCAGCGTATTCCAGGCGCGGGCACCGCTAGCGAGGCCGCCCCCAATCGCTTCAGCCCGCACCGCCGCCGAAGCACGATTTGGCAGCGTGCGGCCTCGACGCACGTCCGTACGCGCGTGTGTAAGCGCTGAGCAGCACTCTTGGCTCGGAGACACTTGCGAAGCCCTCCCCCCCACCACCACCCCCATTCGCTTACCGTGCCAATTGTTTTTTTTTCATTTTATTTGCGAAAGCTCGATGTACTTTGTGCATTTGCCCACAATCTTCGCGGTGGATAAGCGGCGGCGGGGGGGGGGCGGCGGAGAGCGTCGTCTTTAAAGGCACGGCGAGATTAATTTCTGGACATTCGAGGGCCGGGAGAATCCGCGCAACGCCTCGCGTGGAGCCCGCTGCCGTGTTCGCCGTGCAGAAATCGACGCGAATCTCTTTTTGAAAACGCGTTTTGAATGTTGGCCCAATTTCTCATTTCGAGGCCAAACCCAAAAAAAACCCCAACACGCTCAAATAATGGGATTCGCCAAAATGTCCCGCAATGTAGCAAGGGCCCTTCCGACGAAGAGTCGTAAGACTCGCTGAGGCTTTTGTAGGTAAATAAAATGTGAATAAAATACACTTTTCATAATAGAAAGGTCTTTTGGGTTAAAACGCGTAAGTATGAATGTTGTGTCGTAACCCTCCACCACCCGACACAGCCAGTCAGGTTTGTCACGCAAAGACAAAACGCGCCAATTAGTTTACTAATTCAGCCCACCGGTGTGTTGGAGAGTAAATCCACAACATGTAACACTTGAGTAATACGTTTCGCTGGTAATTACATCCAACTAATTGGCGCGTTTTCTTTACGTGACAAACCTTACTGACTGTGTCGGGTGGTGGAGGGTTACGACACATTTATACTTACAGAGATCTAACCCAAAAGACCTTTCTTTTATGAATAATCTTGGTCGCGAAAGCCTACGTGTTAAAAATCCACTTTTATACCTTAAAAATACGTAATCGGATGTATTTTTATACCTTAAAAATACATGGACAGACGGGCTAACGGACACGTGACTACATGGACAGACGGGCTGACGGACGCGTGACTACATGGACAGACGGACTGACGGACACGTGACTACATGGACAGACGGACTGACGGACACGTGAATACATGGACAGACGGGCTGATGGACGCGTGAATACATGGACAGACGGACTGACGGACGCGTGAATACATGGACAGGCTGACTGACGGACGCGTGAATACATGGACAGGCGGGCTGACGGACGCGTGAATACATGGACAGACGGGCTGACGGACGCGTGACTACATGGACAGACGGGCTGACGGACGCGTGACTACATGGACAGACGGGCTGACGGACGCGTGACTACATGGACAGACGGGAAAGGCTGTCCGGTGATCGAGTCGAAAGATGTCGGCTGCCGATCAGCAATCTGACCACCAAAGCGCGAACGACGCCCGCTAGGGTATGCACGCGCAATGAGGTGGGATTTTTTGTTGTTCATTCCGTCAGCTCGTAAACGAACTGTGTGCCCCTACGAAACGGGAGGATGTATTCACTTAACTTTTCCGTCGGAAACAAAAAACAGTCACACTTGTATGAAGCCTCCATCACTCGAGGCAGAGACGGAGACAAAGGCACCTGGGCCCGAGGCGTTAACGCGGCCTCCATTCCCGCTGGCTCTGCGAGGGTGGGGGATCGACATTTGAGAAACCGCCAAATTTAAATTCATTACTAGCAACGAAACAGAAAAACCCCGTCAGAAAATCAGACGAAGCTTCGAGCTCGAGCCTCTGAATTGGCAGTGTGAGCCGTGGGGGTCTTTTTTGTAAACAAAAAAAATAATCATTCCATGAACTGCGTGGTTTTTTTTTTAAATTACATTCCAATTGTGCTGTCCGCAGTGTCACGAAAAAATAAAACTTCCACCAGGAAATGTCACGTTTGAGTTGTTGTACCGATTTGCTACACGCACGACGATCCCGTGTCGCCAGCTGCCCGGCTATTTAACACGGGAGATCCGTGGTGCTGCGTGGACACGACAAGAACAACACGAGCATTGATATCGCAGACAATAAGTACAGGGCCCTATTGAATACTGCACAACGAACAAACGGAGGTGTGAGTCGTCGCCCATTCTGCACCACGCGCTGTGTTAGTGAATGGCTCCAGACGAGGTGACATCTCAGGACTATCACTGATTCCAACATCGACATGTCTCTTGTCCACTCTGGGTGGCCCACGTTGTATAAGCCCTGCACCTTCGATTAGCACGGTTGGCTACGTACGATGCGAAAGAAGTTCAACATACGTGCATGCATACAAAGAGCGCATGTTGGTCCCACCCGTCAAATAAAACCACGACGTTTCACCCTCTTCAAAGCGCCCCGGGGAAGAAGGCGAATCAAGAGACAACGTCACATTCGCACGCGACATGCGCCGTGATGCGCAATCCCATCCGTCAACTCGCCGCACGCTCGAGAAGCCGGGTTTCGGTCCCCGGCGGGAGAGAGAAACTTCGCGTTGCCGACCCAGGATCTCAGAGCGTCGGATTTCAGAGCCGCACTCGGCCACAAACAGGAGAGCAGGCAGCTTGTGATTTTCCACAGCCGCTGTAAATGTCCGCGTGGTGACGATCATGGCGATGAGCCACTTCGTTGAGCAATAATTTTGTGATGGCCAGGTCGCTTCTGGAAGAAAAAAATAAAAGGGCTACGTGGCTTCAGTAGAGCCTTGCCTGGTAAATAAAAAAAACACCCCAATGTTTTAAAAGAGAACACGGCGAGACGGGCGATGCGACGTAACTTTAACGGGCCACGTTTGAGAGACTCAACTCTGTGCGATAACCGGCAACCAGACCAAGGTACAAATCGAATCGTGCTGTCACTTGAACACAGACGCCAAGCCCTGAATGTGTAGCAATTAAGTAAGAACATTCGTTATTGCGCACTCTTATGGGTCGAGTCCATCACGTAAGCGCATTGATTACACGTTGAAGTGGGCTCTCTGAAACAACAACAACAGCAACGTTTGAGTCTGTTTCAGAACTGGCTCAGACTCAAGGATGCATCCCGAACATGAGCCGGCCGCGGTGTTCCAGCTCTTTGTGCCGGAGATGCCGTAACGCATCTGGCCGTATCGCGCGAAGGTTTACACGCGGGTACAGCAGCAGGTCGCCGCGAGCTCGTGATTCGTAGGGCTGCTTTTATTGTGAAAATTGCTATATTAAGTGCTGCTTGTTTATCAAGGAATAGCCTCACACTCCGAGTCACGGTGACTCCTTTTCAGGAAGGGTCATGACAAGCTTTGCTTTATTTTTTTTTGCAGTCGAGGCACGACGATTTCAATGTACTGCATATTCCAAACGAGTATTTTTTTGGGGGAGATTTTATTAAGAAAAAAAAGGTGAAAATGTGCAACCTGAATCCGGCGCACAATCAATGGTCTACTCTTTCGCTCACGGCATCACGGGATCTCAGTGTACACTGTGAAGCAGGCGGTGCACAGTATTCTCACGGTCGATACACACACATACGCGCAGCGCAGCATTAACCAGGGTGGCCTGCGGGTGTCGAACCGCGATCACCTCGCAACAAGCGGCTAACGCGCTACATCTAGGGGGCCAGTCGTGTTGCTCTTTGTTGACGCGGTGTGCGCGCACTTACCGGTCCGCCCCTCTCCCCATCCATCCCTGGAACTCCAGTCTTTCCAGGCTCACCCTGCAAACAAAGACAAAAGAGAAAAGACAAAGATCCCCCGTATAGCCTTTAACATACTGCTGCGGCAAGCGCTGTTAGCGGGCACCTATTAAGGCCGACACGGCATATGAGGGGGTGGGTGGCCAGCACCACGCCCGACCGCTTATTGTTTCCTCAGTGGCGATGTTTATTACACTCCACAGCAGGTACTCATTTGAGGCACAGGACCGGTTCAGATAATCGTCACCGGTGTTGGCCGTGAGCGGGAATCGAGCTCGGGTCGCAGGGTTCATAGCGCAGCGCGCTAACCGCTACACCACCGCTCCCCACTGCAAGCAAAACACACACACACACACGGGTGATGAGCTTGATAGAGAGTCGGGCGCAAGTGGTCGTTAGGGGGCGCCTATTCAAGGTCAGCCCTGCGCACAGAAGGCTTGGTGTGGCGAGACCCCCACAAGGGGGCCGCCTTCGTCTCCCCAGTGCCGATGCTCGCAGAAGAGCACCAGGTGCTCGCTGAACAAATTCAACAACAACAACAACCCAAATGAACTCGTCAACAACGAGTGGCGCGTGCTGTGAAGACGGGTCATTGGCTGAAACGTCGTCAAATTATATACGTATAAAAATATGTATCTCTCTTTTAGGTCAGTGTTGTTGACAAAGTGCGCTGAGATTTTTTTAAAGTTCCTTTGCTCTGTCAACCGTCATTGTGCACCACTGCCGATGCAGCATCACCGCGGTAGTTAGTCACAGTCACTCACTTCAGGGCCGAGTGGCCCCCAGATGAGGCCCACGATGCAAGAATTCTTCAGAAGCCCCCCACCCCGTGAGAAATCTCTTTTAGTGTGGGGGGGGGGGGGGCAGCTGCTCCTCCTGCCGGATGTCGAAGCGACGTGCACCTTCGTCGCCTCGTGACAACAAACGCCAACGGCGCGTTTTGAAAAACGTTCAGAAGGAAGGAAACGTGAACACACGGCGATCACTCTCAGTTGACGAACCTGAGCATCGGCAATCTCCTGTCGGTGAGACGATGAGCCGATTAGAGGAGCAAGCGATGCCGCTGTTCCATTAGCCGCCACGGTGGCGAGATGTTAACTCCCTCGCCTCGGATGCAGGAGGTTGTGGCTTCGATCGAGACCCTGACGCCTGTATATGTGGAGTTTGCACGTTCTTCACGTGGTCGCGTGGATATTTTTCCCTCCACGTTGAGAATCGTGCGTTTAGAGTATTCGGCTGCTTTAAATTTCCACATGATAAGCCACTTCGTTGAGCTATCCTTTGCGATAGCCAAGCCGCTTCTGAAAAGGAGCTACATAGCTCGGTGGGCCTTACCTAGTAAAATAAAACATCGTTTAGTAATAGTAATCACGTTGGTGGGGGGTGACGACAATAATTTGACATGAACCCAGAAATGCCTTTGTCTATTTGTGAGAGCCATTGTCTCAGCAGGACGTAACAAGCCTTTAAAAAGAAGACATTCATGAGATCAAAATGTCCCCTTGCTGTCAACTTGTATCGCATTAAACAAAACGGTCTGAATGAAATCTATTCTCTATTTATCCAGACAACTGCCCAAAAATGACCGGGGGGGGGGGGGGATACTTTTTCCTACTATTTTTTGTTAATGCTTGCATGGAATTAGCTAAGAAGGCTTTCAGTGTCATGCATCTGTTTCATACTCAGACCGTGTCTCAAAAACATCAAGGTCTCATTTATCGTCGGTGCATTTTCGGAGCCAAATACGAAATAAAAAGCCTGCATTTCAGGACACAAAGCATGCACGCTTTATCCTCGACCCCCCCCCCCGCCACCGAAAAAAAACTTTACACATTCGTCGTTTTATATAAATGAGTCTAAAAAGTACACAGCTTTTGTGCGATTCGACGTTTTTAAAACTCTGACATTTTAATGAATAGGGGGCGTCTCATTTTTATATGTTCCCATTTATCTTGCGGTGTAAATCATCGCGCGATGGGAAAAGTTATTTATTTGTTCACTTTTAAATGTAACCCCCCGGCTGCCCCCCGGTTGCCCCCCACAATACAAATATATATTTATATATTTCCAAAAGTGTCGTCTTGCCCTTGGCTAAACATTTTAAAGAAAGGCAGCAAAGCATGAGTTTGGCATTGAAGGCCATTGACACGGTGCAATTGCGCTCAAGGGATGCAATCATCTCCATTGTTGAACATTGTTCGTGCGTCGCTGTGGTCGCGTTGCGGTGAGTCGCCCCCAGAGTTTGAATCCCGGCCCATGGCCACCGACAACCAGTCGCAATTATCTAAACTGGTTCGTGTTGCCTCCCCTAGGTCGCGTAGGCCTCGAATGAGAGTGGTTGGTGCGATGTGTAAATGTTGCCAACTCGGGAGACGAAGGTGGCCGGGAGTGGTGTTGCCCACCAACCACCTCGTGCGCCGTGCCAGCCTTCATAGGTGCTCGCTAACGGCACTTGCCCCGCAAAATTCTGTTTGGGCTATAGGGGGGATCTTTGTCTGTGGGACCTTCGCATGAGGTGGCCAAGTGGCTCAGCGGTAGAGCGGGCGGCTCGCAATCGGAAAGTCGTGAGTCCAATTCTCGTTTGGAGGGTTCACTCGGCTCATCATCCCTGCAAGGGTCGATAAAATGAGTGCCACCTAGCGGGGGAAGTCAATAACAGTTGTCCTATGGGCAGACTCCATAGGAACTTGGAATTTCCACCACTGGCTCAGGGCTGTAGGCAGAAGTTGAGCAGCGCTCCGATGCTTATTTGAGTGGGGAATCGCATGGATTTGCATTGGCACGTCATGGAATTTCAGGGATATTTCGATTAATTTCATACTTCCATTCCAACGCGTGCATTTGTCCAACGAAATGCTGCTCCACGACATGCACCTTCCCCCCCTCCCCAACCCTACCCCTTTCGCCATTGTCAGAAATTATTAACTTTTTACTTTAATTCACAGTCATTAAATCCACTGCTAGATGAGCGCCTTCCAATGCTGCGTCCATGCCGTGGTGGTTGTTTGACCATACTTCCCCACGCTTGTAAGCGGTGAGCCCAAGTTTCAGATATCAGTTGTCACTGCTTTTAACTGTGGCCAGGAATTCAACTCCAAGTCACTGGACTCATAGAACCACTGTTCCACCAACTGATTATAATATATATAAAAGGCAAAGTTGTGAATATGTGTGTCTGTTCAAAATGTTTAGCGTACTTACCGACATGCAACAAACTTGAAATTTGCCATGTGGGTACTTTCCAGACTGTACACCATGCAAACATTATAAAAATACACTTGTGTTTTTTTTTTTTGGGGGGGGGGGAGCTCAATAATGCATATTTTTTCTACGGCAAGTGAGCTGTGACGTCAAATCTGTCACGTGACCCTCGCATGTGGAAGCGTAACGCATTGTAGTGTAGTGGTTAGCGCGCCGCGCTACGAACCCGGCGACACGAGTTCGAATCCCGCTCACGGCCACCACCGGTGACGATTATTTTAACCGGTCCTGGGCCTCCCCTAGGTCGACTCAGCCTCAAACGAGTAAGTGGTGTGGTGTGTCAACATCGCCACTGGGGAGACAAAGGCGTGGTGAATCCAAGTCCCGGGCGAAGCCGGGTAGTACAGCTATTATAATATATTTGATAAATAATCATTTACAGCCGTTTGGATGAAGTTCCTAAGCACACACTTTTCAACGTAAGGGAGGATTGATGACATAGCTTGCCAAATGATGTCGGCCGTGGCCAAAAATAAAATTCAGGTCACCGATTTAACGGCGCAGTGTGCTAACCACTGCACCACCGCTCCACCACGAGTCGCATGGCTGAGGGTTAACGGCAAATTACATACAAAGGGATTCTCAATATAATCATGATCATCCTCGCCATCATTTCGTACACCATGAATGTTGGGCTGTCCTAAATAACTTGTTCCATGCATATATATATTTTTTTACGACCGCAAATGTGAGAAAAGTTACTGCCTTCCCAGAGGCAGCTGACGCTCTCAAATGCGATATTGTGGAAACTATTTAATCGCAAGGGTCTGCACAGTTTGTATTTTGCTCCTCACAGTACATCCATCACGGGATGTGGAACACACACACAAAAAAAACAAAGATCCCCCGTAAAAGAGTGCTGCGGCGGGTGCTGTTAGCGAGCACCTATTAAGGCCGGCACGGTGGCAGACGAGGTTCTGGGTGGCCAGCACGACACCCGGGCGATCTCTGTCTCCTCAGTGCTGATGTTTACACACATTGCACCAGGTACCCATTTAAGGCCGAGTCGACCTAATGGAGGCCCAGGACCTCTTAGAGATATCCATCACCAATGCTGCCTGTGAGGGTGAATAAAACTGGGGTCGCCGGGTTCATCGTGCGGTCTCGCGAAGCGCTACGATACAATGTGGAGGGCACATGGACGTGCAACTTCCATTCCGGCCTCGCAGTGAGGAATGTAATGCCTCCCATCAACACACATTTGGAGATAAGAATGCAGATTCCGTCTGCATCATTGGTCTCGCGAATCTGGTTGCGGGCCACGTGAGCAGCGGAGGAGTACGCAGGGCAACGACGTACATCTGTGGGATATTTACTTCCCCCCCCCCCCCGGTTATATACTGTATACGTGTGTATATATTGCAATCGTGGTACTGGCGTCGTATGCTGAACTTCTTTCGCACCGTACGTAGCCAACCGTGCTAATCGGAGGTGGAATGCAATGAAGGAATGTACATTTTTAACCATAGCAGTGAGCAGTAGACGACATTGCGTACCTGTCACCCGGCAAGTAAGGGTGTTCTACGGTGAGGTCTTTCGGACAGAAACGCTCACCTGACCGTGAATATTCAGCACAGACACTCACCTGACCCTGCATTTTCTGCACAAACGCTCACCTGACTCTTAATTTCCCCTACAAATGCTCACCTGACCCTGAATATTCAGCACAAACACTCACCTGAGCCTGAATTTTCGGTACAAGTACAAACCGCGAACAAACCTCGCAACCTTTCTTAGCCAGAGATGTCAGAAGAGAGATC